ACTCCTGGAGAGCGTGGTTGCCAAGAATGGTGGGATCTAAGTTGGCTTTTTCTTTTCCTTAGGGGTTCCCACTGCACCTGAGCCACCACTTATGCTCGTGCTCCTCCTTGGGCTTTTGCTCCACGGAAATGCACCCAGTGTCAGCAGCCCACATCCCATGCTTCATTCATCAGATATTAAAACTCCACTAAATGCCAAGGAATTGTGAGTGGGATGGCGTCACAGTGGTAAACAAACTGACATAGACTCTGCTCTCAAAATGCTCTTTCTGTGGTAGGAGAAAGGGGATTTTAAAAAGTAGGTACAAAAAAAAAATTAAATACAACTTGTGCTAAATGTGAGCACAGTGTCTAACTACTCCCTTCAGAAATGCAGGAGAGAAACGGATGTGGTCCACTGTCTCATTCACTTCACCTACCTAATGCTCTCTAAATATGGGAGTTCCAAAATGTAATGCCCTGTTGAAAAGATACGAATTCTTTCTTTTTTTTTACACCTTTCTTTTGGATTTATTCTTCTTCACAAGTGAAGCAATTACTATTAGAATTCTTTTAAATGGGCTCAAACATTGCAATGCATGAATCCTTTCTATAGCCTGCAAGGTCCTGCTTCTATGCCCCAGATCATCACTGACCCCACAGAAGCATCTAGACATTGATGTCTAGAAATATCTCATGTTTCTATAGAGCATTTTATGAGAGAGGGTGTATGGTATATAATAATTATAACTGGTCTGAAATGCATGCCCTTGGGTCCAGTCCTTTCTGGGTGTCCCTCCAAAGGAAATAACGGGGTCTTTAGAAAAAAGCTGTACTGCTAAAGATAGTTACTATAACTTTGTATGTTCAATAAGCAAATTCAATACTCAGTTTTTATTTTGCTAATGTGAGCAAATGACTTGACCTCATTGGGCATCATGGGTAAAACTGGGTGATAATCTCTACCTGAAAAAGTTTCTGAGGACTAAATATCTGAGGAAATAGCTGCCTAGCACTAGGCCTGACAAAGAGCAGGTGTGTTCTCTATGGGTTCATTTCACCTCCCCTTTCTGACTGTACTGCATTGTATTACATACCTGAATAGGTACACAGGAATCTATATAGGTTTTATATTCCCACCACTCCCCTCTCAGTGGACTGAATTTGCCCAGGGACCTCTCGTCCTCCTCTCCTGGCATGCTGAGTGGTAGCATTCAGGTGTTGAATGGTTGGACTGTCCTAACCTCGACCACTGTCAAGTGTCCTTTCCCTGGTGCTAGCCCGCCGCCTTTCCTCGTTCCTAGGCACCCCAGCCTGTGGTCCACGTGCAGGGGCAGGAGCCGCTGACCGCCTCCATGCTGGCCGCAGCACCCCCGCAGGAACAGAAACAGATGCTGGGTGAGTGACCCATGTGCTTGCCAAAGAGGGGGCCAGAGCTGCTACTGACCTGGACACCAGCGTCCCTTCTCTACTGGGATGCCACTGGGTCTTTCACAGAATACCTTCCCACAGGTGAATGTTAGTTCCCGCTCATCCAGACGATGCACTTAAACCTGGCTGGGAAGATTACGGGGATGCTGCTGGAGATTGACAACTCGGAGCTGCTGCACATGCTGGAGTCCCCAGAGTCTCTCCGCTCCAAGGTGAGCAGGTTCCCAGACCCCCGCGGCTTCCGCTCACTCGGCTCAGGAGGACAGGGGTTGGCCACACCCAGGGGCGGCAGAGAGAAGGGTCTGCTGCCCCTGTGACCTCCTTGTGCCTCTCCTGTGACCTGAGGGCTGCTGGCGCGTGGGTATCTGGGAAAGCGGTCAGCACCAGGAGAGGCCACCACTGGGCCTGGGCGCCAGGGAGGGGCGGAGGGGCTCTCCTCAGGTGTCACTGACCACCTGGAGCTTCTCACAGGTGGATGAAGCTGTGGCGGTCCTACAGGCTCATCATGCCAAGAAAGAAGCTGCCCAGAAGGTGGGCGCTGTTGCTGCTGCTACCTCTTAGACAAGGACAAACCGTGTGTTTGGCTATTTCATTTCCTGCGATGGTTTTGATTTACGATCATCATCCTAAAAAGGCAGAAGGAGGAGGGAATGGAGAGAGCCCTGCTTCTGTTACTGCTTATCCTGCCCACTTATCCTGTTACCTTTGTGCCTTATCTGTCATCTGAAGTTAGAGAAAGGAGGGGATAAGCTGTGAATTATAAAGGGCAAACAACAGTTTCCACTGTGGTTTTCTTCTGACACCAATCAATTCTACAATTCTCTGACAACAGCGGGGACCCACAATTTCAATTCAATTCTGATACCACGGACCCCACAGGTTAAGGGCTCAGTCCCACAAGACTGCCCCTACTTCAGACACCAGCCACAAATGGGGTCCCTATGCTACCCACACTTATGCTCAGCCAACGACAAACTTGGGTTCCCATGAACCGCACCACCCTCCAGGTTTGAAAATTTGCAAGAATGACTCACAGAACTCAGGAAAGAGGTATACTTATGATTATAGATTATTATAAAGGACACAACTCAGGAAGAGTCAAATGGAAGGGAAGAATAGGGCCAGGTGTCAGAGGAAGGAGATGTGGAGCTTCTTTGCCCTCCCCAGGCACACCACCCTCCCAGCACAGCCATGTGTTCACCAGCCCAGAAGCTCCCCGAACAAACCGCATTTAGAATTTTTACATGTGGTTTCACTATCTAGGCATGATTGATTAAATCATTGGCCGTTGGTGATTGAACACAATTTCCATCCCTTTTCCCCTCCCTGAAGGTCAGGGGCTGGAGCTGAAAAGTTCCAACCCTCTAATCATGTGGTTGGTTCCTCTGCTGACCAGCCCCCATCGGGAAGCTATCTAGGGGCCTGTGATGGATAATTTTATATATCTACTAGACTACGTCATAAGGTGCCCAGATATTGGCTAAACATTGTTTCTGAGTGTGTCTGGGAGGGTGTTTCTAGATGAGATTAGCAGTTGAATAAGTGGACCCAGTAATGCTATTGTCCTCTGTAAGGTGGGTGGGCCTCAGCCAGTCCACGGAGGGCCTGAATAGAACAAAAGGTGGCGGAGAGGAGAATTAGCCCTTGCATCTGCCTAAATGACTGAGCTGGGACATTCAATTCATCTCTTCCTGCCCTTGAACTGGGATTATACAATTGGCTCCCCTGGTTCTCATAATAAATCTCTCCATATGTATCTATATGATGTGTATATATTTCTCCTATTGATTCTATTTCTCTGAAGATCCCTAACTAATACAGGACCCCACTATGCATCACCACCTTAGGGTAAACTCAGGTATGGTCAAAAGGGTTCATTATGAATTTAAAAAGGCCCTCCTAGGGCTTCCCTGGTGGTGCAGTGGTTGAGAATCCGTCTGCCAAGGCAGGGGACACGGGTTCGAGCCCTGGTCTGGGAAGATCCCACATGCTGCGGAGCAACTAAACCCATGTGCCACAGCTACTGAGCCTTGCTCTAGAGGCCCACAAGCCACAATTACTGAGCCTGCGTGCCACAACTACTGAAGCCCACATGCCTAGAGCCTGTGCTCCGCAACAGGAGAAG